CATTATACACTGCGATAAAATTTAAACCAAAAATTCCAGTTGGATCTGAGACTTAGAAACAAGGAAAAAACTAAATAAACAAACATATGATAAAAGGGGTGAAATCCCTTCCCACTCACTGTTTTCTTTGCAATTGTTCCTTCGCAAAATTTTAAAGCATAACTGGATCAATCCAATAAAATTCAATTAAATCTTGATTAAAACATTTTTTTTTTTCAAGAACGGAAACGAAAAAGACTTAACTGACTTTGAGCTGCTCCGAAAGGTTCAATATGTTTTGTTAGAGTTCTGGACGCGTTCCCAAGCTCTCCGTGTAATAAACACGTTAAATATGTGCTTTTAAACCAGTCCTATAACCGTTATTGACTAACAAAGATCTTGACACTTCGCGTACGTGCCTTCGGTCAGTACATAGTCTGTGCTTTACAATATGTAGTGGGGTTTTCAAGGAGATAAGATCTTTTAGTCAAGAGTGGACTCTTAAGACCGTGTGTATCAATTAGCCTTTTGGTTGCATCGCCAAAATACCTAGATGATATTTTTTCTTTGCTAATTTAAGGGCAATTCACTTGTGCAGTAGTCGCATTTTTATGGTATGTTTCAATTCTGTTATGACATTGATGACGGTGTTATACAATAGGCCACTTTCGATGTATTAATATTCAGCTTGATAGTGAGGCCTAGAGGACACAAACAAAAGAAATGAATAAACATGGCCATTCAATTTCCTTTGTTTGTGTCCTCTAGGCCTCACTGCCAAGCTGAATTTTAATGTATCGAAAACAGTCTATCGGAAAAATGGTGCACGGCAAAGCGTGTCATGGATAGAATGGATACTCGAGCGCCCTGATTACAGCTTAAAGAATGCTGATCTTTCAGAGTATGACTAACAATCGTGCGTTGTTTTACGCGAATGTAAATGTATAACGCAAGTCATATTCTAAGGCTGCAGTCATGTATTCTACCGTCATAAACACCCTGAGAGGACTTAGCAAACACTCGCTCCTCTACGTGGTTCTCGTGGTTGCATCATCAACTGTGTTTCATGGCAGTAAAACATATGGCCCTGACTTCTTCATCAGTAAAAAAAAGCTGAGACTATTGAACTCTTGAAACTCTTGTTTCGCACTATTCCTTTTGAAATGCACCGCAGTGCCATTCTTGTACAGATCTGATAACACAGGAAGTATAGTATAATGCACAAATCTGATAACAACTTAAGTAACAAAGTACCGCATGAACAACGAGCAGCATGGCGAACGTGATCTGATACATTCTAAACAACGTACATTGCCATATAGAAGACACGGCATCGTATTTTGGGTGTCACTTTCGGCAATCAGCTGAACGGTACAAGGCAAAGGTTGAAGGCGTTGCCTGCTATAGGCAAGAAAATGCAATATTTTTTAACCCTAGTGTTCAGCTGCAGTATAGCTCTGAGCTTTTGCTCTGTTAACTCTTTCCTTATTCCACATGAAGGCAACGAAAAGTGCCAAGAGGTGAGATGAGAGGCTAGACAATTTTGCTTGTTGTAGTTCCGACCATCGGATATTATGGGTGTTGTGTGTACACTTTAATTGGGGCGCACTGCTTGAGATTTCGAAACACGTACGGGAAATATCAGGGCTGAGGAATGTAAGATCCAGAGTGAGCATAAGATCCAGAGTGGCAGAAAAACAGTGACCGGATAAATCGATCATATAAAATATATGTGATAACAGTTTTATCCAAGATTTGGGGATCCCTCTTAAAAACAAACAATCACCTGTATGCCCTCGGGAAGGAAGAAATTCAGTGATTCTACGTCTCATAATTCTTGTTTTCCTACAGAATTAGTCGAGTGTTAGAGTTAGCGGAAAATACTCCTCATTTGCATTCGCATACCGGCTAAGATGTTTTTAAAAGTGGTTATTATCTGTTTGTTTCAGTACACAACCTATGAGGATTGCGTGAAGGAAGCGTACACGGCGGCCGCAAAATGTCGAGATTCAAGACTCCCACTACTCACGTTCAACATTTACGAGGTTTGTGATGGATATCAGGACAAGTTGAAATGCCTATGTTCTACTCATTGCGCAAAAGGTCAGTTAAGATGAGACCCCTGTGATACTTATGTCACAAATATAATTTGTCTTAGCGTGACATGCGATTTTATCTATCATCTTTAAGGGATGCAAGGGAGGCTTATAACGGAGGGGTTGAAGTTGTACCCGAGGGAAAAGGTGTTTATATCCGTGATCAAAATTTCCTTCTAAATTATTAAGTGGTAGTTTAAGAGTTGATTTCTCGGCCAAGCTTAACAAATGCAATTACGCCAATCATTCCCCTGTAAATATGAGCCAACATAAAGTAACAATTAACAGTCAATACAAGCCGAGGTACTTATCTCCTAATACGCATGCGCCGCCTTTTTTTTTTTTTTTTTTTTT